ATGATCGGATCATTTCATTTAGTGTCCATGTAAACGGAGATTTTGAATTTCCGATCAACCAAGGTTTGGATCGGATCGGGGAAATTTTGCGCATGTAAACGTAGCTACTGTCAAGGAACGCTATGGACAGCGGAAACATGCAAGAGGAGGAGAGTTAACTGGCCTGCAGAAGACAACGGAAAAAACCCACAGATTTTAAGACAGGATTAAAAAAAAGAAATAAAAAAAATAGACAATATGGTCTGATAAAGAGAACATTTATATACACGTTTAAGCCAGAATTATGTGGCATTTAAATATAATTTCACTCCGACTTTTTAAATAATATTTGAAAAACAAACATTTTCACAGACCTTCAGATCAGAGGGTTATTTTGTCTGCAGTGCTAATATTTATATGCAAATTTTTAATACATTTGTATTGTTTTCAACAACAAAATAGATTTTGCAGAGCTGTGTGAGTGACTGGGTGATTACAGGCAGAGGCTTTGTGAGCATTTATTTCAGAGAAAAGCTGAACTCAATATGATGACTCAGAATTCATCACGGTGGACGGCTGATGGTATTATGTGCTGCCTATTCATTATACATCACTCGTGCAGCAGCAGACGGGCCTCGGAGCGCCGGCTGAAATGGAATTTAAAAGGGGTGGATTGTGATGCAGAGGAAATGTTAAAAAAGGACAAACATGAAGCTCAACGCATGGGAAATAGAGGATAAATTAATTTAAATTTAAAAGATTTTTTTTGTTGCTTTTAACATTAAACAATTTGACCCTACTAGGTTATATTTAGCTTAAACCTTTAGCTCTAATTTGCATGTTGCATTGTGAATGAAAAATGGCAGAATAATGTTAATTGGACAAAGAGCTAAGCTCCACAGGGACTTTTGACATTTCGGTCTGCATGAGGTAGACTGATAAAGAACCCTTGTTGTTTACTCATTAGAGAGAACAGGCAGCTTATAGCTAAGAGAATGCTGACAAGCGTCCGTTATCTTTGGCCCGTAGCAAACATCAGAACCTGTAGGGGAATAAAAATTTTAATAATTTGTTAATTAGCCGAATTTGCTTGTCAGTCTGTCTGTTGATGAATGTGGGCAGAATGGCTTTTTAAAAATGCAGCCTTCATGTTTGTCTGGACTTTTGTTAGATGTGCCACAATTGTCCATTAATGGACATTTTCCTGTAATGTAATGCAAGGGCGTAGGTTTGATTTCAGCTTTGGTAGGGACAATATTCTTCAGTTTCATTGGTCCTTTGCAAAAAATATGCATGCTCTTTTTTATGCTTAATGTGAGCTTCAGGGCTCATTTTGTTAAAAGAGAACAGCAGCTTTTCTTGCTACATTAATACTAATCTTATAAGCACTACATGCACTAGATGCTGTTTATCAATATTTAAAGCATCACTGGCTCTGATGAATGTGGAATTAGGACTTTTTCCACTTTGAAAAGGATTGCATTTAAATTTACCTGCGACTAAGACAGTGTCTGTTTAACCAAATATCGTCTGTAATATGTGGATTTATCTTGTGTTTTCTTCTGAAGATATAGAATTGTGCAGAGGTAAACAGAGGTAAACCCACTCTTTGGATCATCATCTTTGGATCATGCAAAATAATACATTCAAGGGATTGAAAATACATGTATTGTATTTACATGTGCACTGGAACTAGAAGAGGAACTGACACTGAGCATTTAAAGTATTAATATTAGAAGTTGTACATCTGTACTGTAGTCACTCTGTGTAGCTAATTTCATGTATTTTATCTATGGCTGAAACAATTAATCATATTAAC